CAGGAAAAGCTTATAGATGGTGGGGCGGGATAACTGATTATACATAAGAATAGAAATCTGATTCCACGATAACACTAGAAGAAGCTGGACCATGCTTTTAAAATTCTGAGAGGAAAGTATTTACAACTGAGAATTTATGTTGACAAATTATTAATCAAATGTGAGGGTTGAATAAGGCATTTTTAGATATGAGAAGTCTCAGCTATTGTACCTCTCCATACATTCTTTCTGAGGAAGCTAGTGTTGTTATGTTCTCCCAACATTATGGAGTAAATTAAGACAGTAGGAATGGATTCTCCTTTTAAATCCAGAGAGCCACTAGCTCAGGTTGGAGCAGGAGGGCAGAATTTCCAGAATGGAGAGCTTCAAGAAATCCAAAAAAAAAGGGACTTACGGAAAGTTGAGTGTTGACAACTAAGGAATGTACAGGAGAGGCATTCATCATAACGCACTGCATAGCTAATCTGTGAACCATAATTTATTTGATCATAAAAATGTAAATTCTAATGTTGACTTAATAAAAAATGGCATAACTGTATTAAGAGAATTTGGAAAGTAGAAGTGGTGTGTCGGATGATGGTAAAAGAGAACTAAATCCTCATTTTCTGTAGTAGGAAGTCAAAGAGTAATATTTAACATTGCAAAAGAAGAGCCATATACGCATGCTATTTATATATACTGAGGCAACTCTAGACATAGATAAGAGCCGTTGTATTTGGGTAACAGAAATTAGGGGCATGGAGGGGTGGGTCAGGGTCTGAAGTCATGTGTGTGTATTGCTTTGACTGAAAAAAGGGCTTAGTGTCTCCCCATAGAGCCAGATTGACACCTAAAAAAGGCACAGTGAAAACTGAGTGATTGTTTGCTGTAGAGAAATGAACAGGAATACCCTACTTTGGGTATTTTGCAGATGACAGTGGCAGAAGAACTTCCCTTTTCTGGTTCTCTGAAAATAAATCATTGCACACCATTTCTCTTTTTGTCAGAACCTGTGCATTCAGTGTTCAACTCACCTTTAATTTCAGTTCCTTTATTGAAAGAGTTTAGCCTAGCTTTATCCTCACACTGCAGGGAAGAAAGACCTCAGTGAGGCAGGCCAGTTGTGGGATTCTGGCTTAGTCACTTATCTGTTTTGTGCCTGGGCTCTGTTTCCTCACCTGAAAATGAAGACAACTCTTTTTGCCTCATAGAAATGTGTGAGGAATAAGTGAATAATTTAGTACGCAAGGTACTTGGCACATAGTAATTGCTAAAATAAATTTAAATTAAAAAAATAAATTTAAATTAAAAAAAAAAGTAAAGGAACACTATAGCTAACCTTTGGTCTAACCCTTGGTCAGGGACCCCATAATGTTGGTCTGGGCCCAAGAGATGGGAGGGGAGAGGAGGGCACAGATAATCCAGGAAGTTTTCTGATTTTAGCAGAAATTTTGGGTGCAGTGTCTTCTGATCTGACTGCAGAGCTTAGCAGATTTGTAGCGACCCAGATCCTGGAATGTTTTATGCACAAAAATCAATGAAAGCTCTTAGCTAATTTAGCTTCCGTATCCAAACATAATCAGAACAATTGCTCACATTCCAGATAATGTGGAATAATGGATTCGGGGTTAACAGGATTATCTTTTACTCCAAGGCTTCTGTGTGCCATGTGATCACTCATTTAAGTTAGCGACCTGAGGCCAGAGTCCTGTCCCTGTGATAGGCTAACCCATTCTCTGACTCAGAACCAAGCCCTTTAGCAATGGTCCTGCTAAGAGGATACTTATATCAGGGGATGCTGGGCCATGAAATTCTTAGGGTGTGTGGTCTTGGCTCATTTTACGGACTTCTGTGGGTTCTGGGTTCCTTGGTTCTTGATGGGCTCTAAATCCTAGTTCTGGTCTATGGTCGGTGTCTCACACATTGTACACCAGAAGGAAACACTTGCTGGGGTGTGAGGGAGTTAATGAGGTCAAGGCAGCCTCACATTCTTCTGCTTTCTTCTTTAGAATCATCTTTAGATCCTTCTGGGTCTGACTGAGGGTGGAGGAGAAAGGGGATTAGCAGAGGAGCTGCCAGCAGTTGTAAGGTGGGTGGGACAGTGCAGGCAGGAGTGAGAGGAGGAGAGAAAAAGCAGAGAACAGGCCCTGAGCATGAGGAAGGAGGTAAGTAAAACTTTGGCTGGTTAGGCCATGGAAAAATAGGAGTGAAACCAAATCTAGACGTCAAACCAGTAACCCTTGCGGGATAGGAGGGAGGTCAGGGAGCAGAACACACAGGTTACAGTAGCGTGATGCATTAAATAGGCACTGTATAAAAACCGTAAGGAAGCATATGAGTTTTTAGGTGGCTCAGGGACAGAGGGATGCAAAAGGACCCTGTGATCAGCTGACATGGTGACTCTGACATGGTGATATGAATTAGTATCAGCCACTTAATAGAAAAATCTACAGTCTGTACAGCTCTATTATTGTTTATTTCTCATGCTAATCATGATTACACCTGCAATCCAGGACCGTCCCATCCAGTTGCCTCATCTATCAAAAGCCCAGGCCCACCCTTCAGAAGAAAATTAAAAAAAAAGTTTTGAGCAGCCACAGTGGATGACCAAAGCCTTATACTAGGACATGGGCAAGTCCATGTAGTCTCACACACGACCCAGTTAGGCTTCAGTGAGTCGGAGTTAGCTGGGACCCCCAGAGTTGGTCTAAACCAAGCTTTTCAGTGAGTTTTGAAGGGATTCAGGGGATGCTTACAAAAATAAAAAGTAGGAAGTATAGACGAGCCTTGCAAACACTAAAAGGTTAACAAGCATCTGGTCTCTCTGGGGCTGTATGGTTTCCTGTCAGCCTCACCCCAGACCGCTTCCTTGTGCTCTTTGTATGCCAGCTTCCGCTCCTTCTGCAGGCCCCCCATAGCCTCATCACTTGATCTCGTGCTTGGCATTTGCTTCTCATGGTGTCCCTCATTACCTTTCCCTCAAGCTCTAGGGTCCACCACCAGCTCACTGTAGTCTTTTTTCATAGTTGCAATTCTGAAAGTGTCTGGTCCAACTCCTTTATTTATGTGTGAGTTGCTTTTAAATGAAAATTTTACCATTCGTTTATCAGGGGAGGCCCAAGAGTGTAAGTGGGTGGGGTAGTGGCAGATTGGGCAAGTCGAATGACTTGCCTATTTGGGTAACGTTGGAGGTCTGCAAACCATCTTCCAAAGGATTTTAAAAGCATGAATAAAACCGCACATTCCCTTATGAGTCTGTAGATTACTGTGGCTAGAGCATAGGGTTCATGGGGTGGAATGGCAAAGGGTTTGGTCAGCTAGTAAAGGGCCTGAGACTTGGGTCCCTAGGGTCTTCTTTGCCTGGGTCACAGGGCCACAGAATGCCATTAAATCTGTTTAAGCAGATTACTTGGTGAATTATCCATCTCTCACTGAAGGTTAGGCTTGGAGTAAAAGGAGGGAGATGGGAGGCTGGCTAGAGAGAGAAGGAGCGTGGCAGGTGGGTCAGCAGCCCGAGTCCCTGTACCCCGAGAGCACCTTGCTCCTGCTCCCTTGGGAAGGCTCCTTACTGGCAGACTTCCAAGTGGCCACCAGCTCAGTTGCATTTGCGGGTAGAGATCTCTTCCTGGCCTGGCTCACTCAGCCCACAGCAACTTTGGCTCCTAGTGTTTTGTTGGCATTAATTATACACAGCAGCAAAGTGCTCAAGTGCTGCAAGCAACTTTTTATTTTTCCACATCACCTGATGCCTTTGTTGTTTGCTCTGTTCTGCCCGGAATCTTTGTAAGAACTTGACATTTTTATCCCCTCAAAGGGCTCACTTCAGCTTGTTTCATCTGACTTAGTTCCTATCAGCATCTGCACTTTCACGGAATGATGCTTATTTGTCTCAGAGTCTCCTTCTTCCAGACATTGTCCTTGTGTATTACTACTTCTTCTCTGTTCCTCAGTGGATTTCTCACTAGTTTTCCTCCTTATCAGTTCTTATTCATTCACCGCACTCCCCAAGCTTGATCAGGGGAAATCATTTTATCATCATGGATGTTATCTTAGACTTGGGCTGAGCTAAGTATGAGCATGAAATGTGAAAAACCGGACTCCTTGAAGGCCACACTTATTTCCACTAAAAATGTTATACATGAGAAATTTGGAAACTCTTTGACCCAGAAATTTGACTTATAAGACTGTGTTTAAGGAAATAACCATGGATTTCCCCCAGAGATTAAATTGTACAAAGCGCAATTTGTAATTAGCGAAAAAAGTTGGAGATGACGTAAATGTTCAGCCTTTGGGGGGTGGGGTACGATTTATTGCTTGGCTTTACTGCATCTGTGTAAAAACTTTGGATAATAAAATCAGGAAGGCTGTATTATCTGTAGTTATCTTGGGTGGAGAAAAATAGATAAGCTTTTTCTTTCTGACTTAATTATATTTTCTAAAATTTCTAGATTGGACATAAATTTCTTTGGCACTAGGAAAAATAACAATTACTTTAAACAAATGCTACCCACCCAGACAGCTATAATAATATGTGGATTAAAAATTTAGGCTCAGTTAAGAATGCTCCCAAAATAAATTAGAAATTGAATTCACACTTGTAACATTATAAACAATATATTATAGGTCAAAGGGAGACTGGGTGCAAGTTTGATGTATTTGTTGATCATAAGCAGTTGTCCACAAGCCTTATGTAGACACGAGATTTGGGGCCAGAACTGTAACCTTCTTACTCTTGCTTTAACATTTTTTTTTTCTTTCCCAATGATAGCAAGTAAGTAGCACCAGGATTCAGTAACTGTAGTAGTTTGCTTTGCTTCATCTACATTTCATGCTGAAATTGCTGAGCTCCAGAAGGGGTAGGTCTGGGTGAATAGATGGCCAGTTTGAGCCCTGGGAAGGCGACTGGCTCCTTCAGGTGAGGCTGAACCACGGTTGGGAGAAGGAGGGGCAAAGGTGCTTACACTGTTGCATGTATTAACATATGTGACTTTGCCTTTTTTTTTTGTTTGTTTTCTCGGCAGGCAGGGTAGAGCCAACTGTTCAGAGTTCTGCAGCAGCAGCAGCTCGGAAAGAAGCAGTGAAGTCATGGAGCCCAGCTGAAGTGAATTGGCTTTCCTGAACCTGCCCCAGCGCTGGTGCCAGGTCTCTGCCCCTATAATGAGGTAAGGCTCCTTGAGTCCCAGGTTGGAGATAGAGGGCAGATTGCCTCCTGTTGGGTACGTGTGTCTGTGTGTAAACTTCTTCCTCTAAGGCTCAGGAAAGAAGGAGCAGTTGTTCCTTGTTCAGTCAAACCATCTGCTTCCACCTGAGCTCATTGGGAGACAAGGTCATATGGTGGCAAAAGAGGCTTTAATTTTTCAAAGCAGGTTTTTTGGAATTGTAACAGGGAATTGTGTTTTCTCAATTGCTGGTGAAATTTGAACTCCAAAAGTAGAAAATTTATTCTCCAGGTAAGACCGCACCTGATTTAGGCAAATGCTTAACTTAGGTGCATCTGTTCTGTTCTGCAAGGAAAGTCAGACTCTTAGGAAACTCTCTCTCCCTCCCTCCCTCCCTCTCTACCCTCCCCCCCATGCCACCACCTCCACAGACTGGGACCTGGCACAGTAGCTAACCCCTCCAACCAACCAATCCTGAAAGTCATCTTTCAGGGTCAAGGGCTTATCTTTCTCACCATGGAAGAGTTCTGGCTCTGTATATGTCCGATAAGAAACAAAACTCTGGTTTTTTCAGAGACAAAAGCTCACTCATCTCTAACCAACTGCTTCGTGTGCGGTTCTGGA